CAGATAGCCCATGCAACTAGAAGTTCTCAACCTGCTGTTGCCACTGACTACCAGTGATACTTTGGGCAAATCACTTATTTCTCTGTATATCTCAGGTTGTTTGGGTATGAAATGGCAACAGTATTTTTCCCTCCAAATGTGTTCTGAAATTAATGTTTGCACATCCCTTTCAATTAAATTAGAGTTGCTCCAGTTGATGCTTGGCTGGACTCTCTCATGATTGTTTCCACGATAGTTATGTATCTCAAGATACAACTGTATGTCTTATCCTGAGTAACTGGTATTTTAAAAGGGACACACTGATCACAGAGACTGACTTGCATGAAGTGTGATAGAACAGTACTTTGTGGTTTGTCTGCTTTCTTCACTATGCTTACTGATACCTAGTGGCTAACCCGGGAAACAAATCACTTTTAGTATCTTCTTGACTCTCTGCAGTTTATTATATTTTTTCTGATATCTCCCTCACTATCTTTTTCCCTCACTCCCTCACTTTTTTCTGATATCCCCCTGATATCACTATCTTTCTACTCCTATGTGAATTCAAATTATATATTTTTTCAGTTCATCAGCTCTATCTGTACAATTTTACATTCCCTGTCCTTTTTTAAAATCAGTGATTCTCAATTGTTTTAAAAACATATAAATGCTATGTGCAAAGGATCAGTATTCCTAAAAAAAGTAAAGAACACTGAAAGTAAATTATTTTCCCCCACATATTAATGGCCAGCTTACTTTTTATTATATTACTAGTCCATATTATGAATCCAGTTTCCTAAAACTGAATCTTAGAAGTGTTTGTGTGTGTGTATGTTGTATCTTAATTTACAATTTATTGCGCACAAAAATTACACTAAAATGTCCACTGCCCATTTCCATGACTATATGTATGAAGTTTAATAATGCTAGGAAAATATAAACATAATTAGTTACAAGATAACTGTAAAAAGCATAATATAAAACACATGCCTACCTTTAACAAAATATCTTAATTAGTTCTACTGAAGAAAATAAGAATAAAACATATATGTTTATATTTACAAACACATGTCTTACAATATAGAGAAGCACTGTGGTACATTTTAAAGGCACTGACAAGTTGCATCTAAAATAAGGTGTGCTAATTGCTAGCAAAATGTCTGGAGTGCAGGTGCTGCAGAGGCAGCACAGTTATACTAATCAGACACAGAGATTTTTTTTACTTGATTTGCTACCAGCCCAGGCCATCAGTAAGTCTCCATTCAAAGTGGATGTATTTCTATTTCTTCCCTAAAGGAGAAAAGAATCCTACTTAACACTGGAATAGATATAGATATAACTATCTATCTATCTATCTTTATCTATAGATATATATAGAAATATAAAAATATATTTATGTATATTTATATTTTAATAATAATGATCTCACTCATTTTTTCATTTCTCCATAATTTTCTAAATTTTTCAAAACTTGTCATATTAATCCTCAATCTATTATTTAATTGACTGGATTATGCAATTAATATTTCCCATTCTCTAAAATTAACCTGAAAACTATTTGGACTATTTGCTAAGTACCATGTAGTAGAAAATCCTACCTTGTCTCTGAAAATGTTTGCTTTAATACCTAGTGGAAATAGCAATATGATAAGGCAGAGCTTATGCACTTCACTACAAGGTCCCAGCGTAGGGTAAATCAGCTGTCATCTGCTCCCAGAGTGTTCTTGCATGCCAGCCTTAGGTAAATGTATTTAAATTTATTAAAGGAGCTATATAAATATCAGGTGCTAGAGTATTACTGCAGAATACTGAAACTTTTAATGAGAGTAGGCTGTAGTTACAAGGTCGTGTCTTTTGTAATATTTTCAAAGTATGAGGAAAAATTATTTTATCTCCATGTTCAGAAATAGCAACTGCAGCAATTTAGAATTATGAATCTACAAACATTTGAAGAACAAGAGAAAATCCTTTTTCAACTCTTTTCTTAAAAACATAGAATAATATAACATCTCACTTTTCTTGTAGCCATAAAGGCAGAGAAAAACTGTTCTTTCTTGGCACTGAGCAAGACAAGAGGCAATGGGTTTAAACTACAGCAACACAGATTTAGATTAAATCTGAGGAAAAACTTCCTTACGGTAAGAACATAGGACCAAGGAATAAGCTGCCTAGAGAAGTTGTCATATCTCTGTTATTGGAGATTTTTAAGTAGAATTTGTATAGGCATCTGTCTGGGACGAGTTTAAAACAGCAAATCCTGCAGCCATGAAGAGAGTTCAGCTGGATGACCCCTAAGGTCTCCTCAAACTTTAATTCTATCACCAAAACAGGACAAAGAAAAAAGAAAAAAAGAAAGTCCAAGTCAGAGGAAACTTAGCTTTACAAAAAACAAAACAAAAAACAGTCATTTTTTTTTTTTTGATTCCCAGACTGCTGGGGCCAGGCAGGGGGGCCATTGGGAGCACGGCCGAGGGGGTGGGGCTGATCAGGTCACAGGGTCTGTGCAGGGGGGCTCTGCCAGGAAGCCCCAGAGCGTCCACAGCCCCTGCTGCAGCGGTGAGTGCGGGGTTCTTTTTTATTTTTACAAAAAACAAAACAAAAAACAGTCAAAATTTTACAACATTTGAAAAGGTCTAATGAATATTTTAGATGTGGAGGAAAAAAAGAGAAAAAAAATTAACTGAAAGACTGTTTCTTGGATATGTGGCATGATATCTAAACAAAACAAAAAACAAAACAAAAAACAGTCAAAATTTTACAACATTTGAAAAGGTCTAATGAATATTTTAGATGTGGAGGAAAAATGAGAAAAAAATTAACTGAAAGACTGTTTATTGGATACGTGGCATGATATTTAAACAAAAAATGAACTTATACAAGTAACCTCATTTAAGCACTTAAAAAAACAGTGTGATGTCTAGTTATCATCACCATGTTTTCCTAACCCTAGAATGCCAAAGGAAAAATATTAAATCACCCTCAAAGTGCCGGGAGCCTGGGGCTGGGCGGAGGATGGGGCCAGGCAGGGCAGCCTAAAAAAACAGTGTGATGTCTAGTTATCATCACTGTGTTTTCCTAACCCTAGAATTCCAATGGAAAAATATTAAATCACCCTCAAAGCTGCATCAAAACACAAATGAAACCTTTTAAATGTGCATAACGTAATACGGATACCAGCCATTTTCCATTTCCAATAGGAAAAATATTACCTTTCCTGTGGAAATATAAGTATATTTAACTCTGATACACTGGGCCAAAATCAATTCTTCACAAGAAGATGGAAAAAAAATAATAATTTTGCTGCATTACTATGTCCAACTTGTCTACAAACCTTATTTTCACATGTTTTTTGTTAACCTATTCACTTTGTCCGTACAACAGGGCAAATATGAAATACTGTGTTCACAGGTAGCAATGTAAATCAAAATGAGAAGAACATGAACAAAGTAAAAGCTGTATATGATCAAAGACATGCTGGATACCTGAGTCAAGACGCTATTTGTGAACAAGGTAGGAAAGCTAGTCATGCATATGGATGACCTTTCACAAAATTAAATGCTAGTCAGAAAATACATTCTTGAAATACAAAATAAGCATTATGAAACAGATTAACAAGCTGTTTTTTCACTAAATAAAAAATTGCTATTTTAAGCACCATTCGTAAATCTCATTTAGAAGCATGGTAGTTAAAATAGGTAGTTAAAATAGTTTTTTGTTCTATATTGATGTGTGTATATACATATACATAGATACATACATATATATGTATATATACATATATGTAAATGTGTGTGAGTACACACACACATCCACTAGTAACCTAAAATCCTAGAAGTGAAGGTAGAAATGTTAGGCATGCCTATTACCTTACAAATACCCTTCTCCTTCATCCACTAAATAATCACTGAAAGGATGTAATCGAAAGGTCAAATGAGCATAACTCTTGAGAAGTATGCAGTTCTCCTTTTTTTGCCCATGCATGGTGAAATGAATAGTTTTATTATAAAAGAATATACACTCCTAATTAACTACTCCAATACTTACCTTCCAGAAGGTAAGGAAAGCACAGTACTATTTATTTATTTCTTACTATCCAAGGGTTTCAAGACTTCCTAAAGTGACCACCTCATTAGACCTAGGTAAGTATGTCCAACGTAAAAGCAAGTGGGTAAGCTTGTATAACACAACTTTAAGTCAGTAAATGGAGAACAGACTGACTGCTGCCTTATACAAATCAGACAGATGATCTGTAAATTCTGCAGCCAGAGATCAAATGTGTAGAATCTTCTTTTACATAATGGGCAAAGATTCCAGTTATGTTATGTTTCTGTTAAAGCATTATACTATTTATGAAGTCTACAAAGCCCTTTCATTCAATACTCATGATTTTTTTAAATTCTTAAAAAAAAAAAATCTTATTCAAAGAAGGATCAGGTAAATTGCTATGCCACGGAAAGGTTCTCTCTCCTATCAGGAAAATACTACCCATACTCAAAAAATTACAATTACAATGAAATGTTATATATATAAAACCTAACCCATTTTAACATAAAGCACCTGTGGTTTTTACATCAATTTTTCTCTTCATTTTCAAAAGTACATACTAAATGACCATGACAAGCTGTACAAAATAAATCCATTTCACATGTAGATCTTTTTCTACTTTTTGGGGGGGTCTAGCATAAGATAATGCCATAGTGTTGATTAAATTAGCTAAATTTATGAGGCAAAACATCTATTTGTACTTCTATTTTGAAGCATCTCTGCACTTTGTTTGAAAACACAGCATTAATGCCTGATTTTTCCTAGTAATGATAAAAGCAAAATCCCATCCACATGTTTTCTCATCATTAAATAACAAGCTCAAGCAAAAGCATGCCCACTTTGTCTTAAAAAGAGACAAATCCCACACTGTTTTCTCAACCTCCAAAATCTCAAAGGATTATTCCTGATAGCATATTACCCTTTACCCATACAGTTTCTGCTACTTCTTAGAGAATATTCTGTAGACATCAAATTACCTTTCCAGAGATTCATAGGACATGAACTAAAATCTAATGCATCACTCGGACCAGGTCTCCACACCATTTTCTCATCAGCTTGTGCCTCCAAGAGAAGCAAATTGCCAAATTAACAAGCTCAGAGCAAAAAAAAAAGGGGGGGGGGAAAGATCTTATTTTTTTTATTCTCGTGCTGTGGATGTCGCTACTTACTTGGCTAAGATATCATCACAAATCCAAAATGATTTCAATTACATAGCGGAGTAATCACTGTTCGGCATCTGTAAGGGATAGATAAACTGAGCTACATTACAGGAGTCCCTCTGCAGACTGTACCATCCTGCACAGGCAGGTGGGGGTGGGGGTGGGGGAAGCTGCTATTTCTGTCAGAGCATCTTGGTAGCAGAGTGCAAGCACGGGGATGTTTTATTGCCCGCACTTCCATGCTGTAGAAGGAGGCAAGCAAACAGCAGGCTTGGGAAGGGAAGAAAATGTTGTTTCTAAAAGAAAAATGGACTGAACCACCATGTTGTTGTTTGTGGTTTTAATACTTCCCTTGGGATAATGACAAAAACGGAAGATGGCAAACTACCAGGAATATGCCACTTACTCAGAAACGGGAGAAACCTTCAAGGACAAGGACTGTCAAGTTCTATCACTATCATTTGAGAAGACGAAAAAAGGGCGGGGGAGCTGTATGGAGCGGGTTGCAGGGGGTGAGGGAGCGCTCCCGAAGCACTGCATCCCGACAGCAGACATGCGCTGGTGCGTTCTGAATGTCAGAGCCCGCTGCCAAGCGCTTCCCCAGTCCTGTTAACTATTTACAATTCAACAAACACGGGCCAATAAAGAAATAAAGAAAAGACTGTATGTCGCAGGATTTCATCGCCAATCACACTGTACCAACCAAAAAAAATGTCTTTGTAAGCAAAGGTGTAACAGAGAACAAAGCAAATGCACCCTGGATTCTGTGTGTTTCTCAACTATTTTGTGCTGCTTGACCTGCAGGAGTCAGATGCTGTTTGTGCTGATTTCAGAGAAATGCTCACACAGGGAACGCGCATGTCTTTACCTTTGGTTGGGATTGAACTCATTACCATATGCTGTAAAACCTAATGCACATACAGTGGTAGTGTTCTGCTTCTTTTTTTTTAACTGATTCCAATGCATTTCAAATGTTAATGGCAACCTGTCACTTCCTCAAGAAAAACTGCATGAAGTTTTAAGGTGGAATGATACTTTACATCTAATTTTTTCAAAGAAAAAAAATACTGGCGTGGCACTAAGAATTAATTTATGTGAACAATAATCGGGTTGGGGGCTCGGGTTTTTTACCTAGAAAACATGTCATGTCGTAACTGCACAATAGGCTTTTGAAATATCTTATTAAAGAGAGTTTCAACTGCTACCGGTTAAGAGAGAAAATACTCCTTTAATAAAATTGACGTTTTACATATGAGAATAGCAGAGCTTGTTAATAGGGACTAAAGTATTGTCAACATCTTCCCACAAGGGCTACAGTATACATAAGGTAAGCATATTTAAAAAAATTATTTTAAAAATGCCAAATATTCAGTTGTTCTAAGCACTGTTTCATGAGTTGCAAGCTGAGATTCTGCAATTGCAAGAATGCATTTTATCTCAAAACTGACTAAATACAGAAAATATTATTTGTTTCTTAAAGCATGAATAAAACAGCATATATCAAAGTAGGAGGCTTGTCTATAGTATCCTAGGGACAGCAGTGCTTCGTGACTGTGCTACATCTTGGACAGAGTAGGCAATTGCAACTAAGCACACCTCCTTGAACACTAATAGGAGTAGCTGTACTGATGCTCTGTCATCCTTGCTTACTTGCTGCTCTGAATATCAATTCAGCCAGTTAAGCCAAGAGTCTGCACTGCACTGCACCAAAATGGAAGCTATTTTAAAAAAGCCTGCTAGGATCACTGATCAGGGGATTTTATCTTTGCTGAATTAAAATATGAAGTGAAATTTAAAACAGGATTGGAGTAAATAAAGATTTTTCTAAAAGGAGCCTGTCTTTATCACTGCAAAGTTCCAAGCTATACATGCATGTCATGACATCATATGCAGTGACACTGTTGCATGTTTTTCTAGGCAAGGCTTTGTTTCTAATTGTGACTTAGTTCACATTTTAAATCATGCTAAACAAAGAAACCACTGAGAAGAAAATGTTATAGTGGAAATGTGTTGTGCTTACATTCAGGAACTGTCACTGCTGATGACCTCTACTGCTTTGCTAGAGCACAAGTACTTTATACTGGATTTTTTTCCAGTATTAGAAACCAGTATTTTTCCAATTCAAGTTATAAATCCATATTTAAAACCTGCTTAATGGATATTACAGCAAAGCCTAAAGATAATAAACAAGAAAGACTAAACACAAGAATGTGTAGGGGTTTTTTTTTTTAGACAATTTAAATAATTACTAATAACATTTAAAATCCCTTGTTCATTGAATCTGACTATCACCAATTTGCATGTTCCTTCTCTGAAAGATTCTGGCCTTTCTATACTGTAACTATAATCCAGTTATGGAGTTATAACTTGCTGAAAGATATATATTGCAAATATTTAGAGAATGCTTTTGTCTTTACTCGGTGTACAGAGAAAACAAAGGGAAAAGAGAAGGAAAAAAGTAATACTATATTCAATAAGCAAAAAAAGTTCTAGTTATTTTTGGACAATTTAAATGAGTTAAGGAAGAACCATTCCAGGAAAACAAGTTTTCACATGAGTATTCCCAATGCTCATTTAACATAGGGCCTCAAAAGTGCTGTACCACATAACGTGATGATCAAGCTATTAACCTTGTTGCTAGTCTCATCAGTAAGGGGCCCACCTCCCAGTACTGTGTGGGTATGTAACAAGAAACCCATTCTTGCAGAGACCTAGCACACCCATTGCATTGGTATGGCAAGGCTCAAGTGCCTTTCTGTAGGAGAAACCTACAAACTACATTTACATATCGACTAAGCTAAGTGTCACTAAAGAAAACAAAAGAACTAAAATATCCACTTCAAAGACTGTAAATATATCCTGGTGCTAACCTAACTCACATACTGTCCTCAGTAGCCTTTGATCCTCACTACCTCACATTGCATTTTACATATTTCTCACAGTGCAGTTTTATATTTCATCTGTCTTATCTTTACATGTATTTTATATTTTATACTTTTAAACCCTTAAGGAATGTACTCCCTGTAGAATGAAGTTACACCCTGGACCATTGTTAAAAACTGCATTGAAACAGTAATTGTAAAGTGATAAAGTCTGCTATATTGGGCTGATCCCTTGAGTGAATGCGAGTATGAGTCAGTAGATAATTAAATGACAAACCAAGAACCTCTGACTGTTAATTGACAGTAACCTAGCCAGAGGAACTTACCATTACAAAACTCTACAAGCCATTTTAGGCTAATCAACGTGGAAGACTGATTCCTGAAACTAAGCACCCACCCTATTGACTACTCCTGTAACCCATGACAATACAGCCATTGAATCAATCAAGTCAAGAGTGGACTCCCCAAACTGCACCATGGGGCAGAACCCCAGTGACTGTGACTGACAGCTGTCATGCACTACTCAAGACCCATGTGGGACAGTGTGGCAGAGCATCTCTGGTGTCTGTCACTTTAAGAGCCTGAAGAGGCAACCGGCAGGTGCGGCCCAGCTCTGATGAGCAGTCATTTTAAGATTCAGGCCAGGAGAGCTGGAGGCAGCATTCTGCCACCTGGCACTGAGGAAACAATATCTCCTGGTAGAGCTGCTGCTCCAATAACACCAGGAGGTAAGGGCAAGAGCTGATAGGGATGGTTAGGAGGCTCTTGGTCCTGGGCAACACCTAAACCTGCACCCTGCTGGGGATGGGTGGCCTGGTGGGGCTGTTTCTGGTGGACCAGCCCCACAGAAATGCCAGGCCAGTTACCAACCCGGTGGAAGGCAAGTAGGGGCGCATAAACCCCAGCTGCCATCTTCAGGTGGGTCAGTTAACATCGGAGGTAGTTGGGGGCCAGGCATGACTGTGGCCACCTGAGCCTGTGTGGGGTGCAAGACCCCAGAGAGTGGAGAGTGGGGCCAGGTACAGCTGTGGCCACCTGAGCCTATGTGGGGTGCAAGAACCTGGAGAGTGGAGAGTGAGGCCAGGCACGACCGCAGCCACCTGAGCCTGTGGGGTGTGTGTGTGACCCCAGGCCCCAGCATAGGGGGGTAGAGTATGGGCCTCAATGGAAGCAGAGGTGTAGAGCAGGTTGCAGTGGGGCACCTGACAGCCTGCATCAGAGTGGCAGTTGGGAGGCCTGTTGAGCCTAGCTAGGGGCATGGAGCCCAGTGAAGAGGCAAGACACCCAGAGCTAGGAGCCCCAACTGTGTGTGTGGGGGGGGGGGGGGGGGAGGGGAAGGAGCCCAGTGAGAGTGAGGGGCTCAGAGCTCAAGGAGAGAGGCTGGGGTTAGGGGCTGGGATATAGTTACAACATGGGAATGTTGAGAAGGGTGAATACTGAGGCCCTATAAACAGGGGGCCTGAGATGAGGCCCTATGAGGAAAGGGTGTGAAGTGGGTCGCAGTGAGCAGGAGGTTTGAGGCTAGGCCCTGCTAACTTGGGGGCCAGGTTAAGCCTTCAGGTACCTGAGGCCACAGGTGGGCCAGAGGCTGATTGGGCGGGGTAGCTGAGGAAGTGCCTCAGGTAAACAATGGGGCGAGTCAGGAGCCCCTAATTCAGAGCAACTGGGTAAGTGACCTGGTGAGGGATTAGAGGCAGAGTCACTCCAGTGTTCTGTAAACTGCCCAGCTCTCGCTTGGATGAGGGTTGTGGGAGAGGCCCAAGAGGCTGTGCACTTGGTGGCCAGGGAGTGCAGGGAAAAAAGCCCCAGGACCCTTTGGGCAAGGGCAGGGATGGCCCCGGGAAAAGGAGGGGTGGTATGAGAGTGGCCCCGCAAACAGGCAGTATGAGAGAAAATGTGTGAGAGTCGGTGGAGTGGGAGAGGCCTCAGTGAGAACGTGGCCCGTAATAGGGCAGAAAGCAAGAGGCCTAACACTGAG